CCAGCTACACTCTAACTCTAACACATGCCCTCCATTAGGACAAGCCTTTCTTAAACACAATATTTGGTCTACTATGTAGATTAAATATAGCATACCCATTAATCATATTTTAACTATTCAAATCTAGGTGAGTCTTAACCACTCTAGTAGGTTTAGGTCATGGATAAATCAGTCTGAGCTTCTATTCTTGCATGTAATTTATATTTATTTGTTCATATACAAATCAAGTCTTTATATAGTCTCTATGTAATTACTTATATAAATTATCAAATAAAGATATGAGCAAGGCCTCATCTTAAAATCAAAAAAAAAAAAAAAAGAATATAAGTATATTTCATTAAAGCACTTTTATAGCTTTAAATCATGACAATTTCAGAAATGAAGTGTAAAGAAATTATATCTACGTGAAAATTAGACAAGACATATAGACAAATTGCCAAACTTGTTGGTTGTGATCCAAAGACTGTTAGAAATATACTTAACCGACTTGAAAATTTATCTCAAGTATTACTGGATTGTCAAAGAAGACCACTAATCTTAGATGAATCAGCACAAGATCGTCTAACACAACTTGTTTTAAATAATCACCATATGACTAAAGAACAAATTCAAGCTGCATTGGAACAGCGAGAAGGCAAAGTAATAATATTTTTTTTAATTTATTTTTAATTTTTTTAATTTATTTTTAATTTTTTTTATTTATTTTTAATTTTTTTTATTTATTTATTTTTTTTATTTTACTTTATTTCAATATTTTTATATTATAGGTAGTTTCTCAAAGAACTATTAGCTGTACTCTTCGCAAAGCTAATCTGTTTGCACATGTTGCCCGTGCAAAGCCTTTTATTAGTGATAAAACTAAAAAAAAAGCATCAAAAGTGAGTAGAAATGCATCTTAATTGGACAACTGAAAATTGGAAGAATGTTCTTTGGTCGGATGAAAAATATTTTAGTTTGGTCTCTTCTAATCCACGTCAGTATGTATGGAGAAGGCCAGATAAAGAATTTAATGATGATTGTCTTGTTCTGGCAATCAAATCTAAAGGGATTATGATGTAGAGATGTTTTTCTTGGTGGGGTCTTGGCCCTTTTATCTATCTCCACAGCAGTATCACATGTGCATTCTATCATAGAACACTTGTTCGTTATACCATTTCTAAACTTCAGGACCAATATCCCAACAATAATAGGATATTTCAACATGACGGTACCTCAGTCCACAGGGGCAAACTTGTTAAAAGGTATCTAGCTAATAAATGTATTAAAACATTTAAATAGTCTCTGTATAGCCCAGACCTTAATCCTATTAAGAATCTTTGGTCTGAGATTAAAAATAAACTTCGAAAATGTCACCCAAGTCCTGGCAATCTTAATGAGCTTAAAAGAATGGTTAAGAAAGAATGAGAAGCATTATCTTAGAGTTATTATAGACATCTTGTTGAAAGTGAAATAGACCGTGTTAAAGCGGTATATGATAATGATGGTAGTTATTCACATTATTAATTTGAATATAATTATGCTACTATATGTATAAAGATTATTTGCTTCAACAGTTAAATAAATAAATAAAAAGTAAAATCAATAAATAAATAAATAAAAAGTAAAAAATAAAAATTAATAAAAGTAAGAGAATAATAAATAAAAAGTAAAAAAAAATCAATAAAAAGTAAAAATAATAATAATAATAATAAATAAATAATATGGGTCAGTTTTATTTTGTAGTCCCGTGCTTATATGATTATTAATCGATTTATGGTTATTAATTATTTGTGATCAAAGAGCGTTACAAATACTATATAGTTTGAGGAGGTTTATATACAGATAGTAACATATTTAAGGTTTGTGATATGATTTCTTTATGCTGAATTTATTATTCGCAAATTAAACAAAATGGCACTGTGGTTTTAATCTCAAAATTTATTAACAATCAATCTAATCGATATTTCAAATATTGGTGACCAAGAATTGAGTATAAGTAATTATAAAAAAATGTATTAGTTACTTGATTTATTAGCTCCTAATTTTCATATATGCATATGGAAAGAATCTAAAAACCTTAATAGATGTGATAATAACCTATAGTAAAAGCAATAATCAAAAGCTTAAGTGACCTTTCATACAACTTATAAAACTTATTATACCTATAAAAAATATATACTTCCGACAAAAAAAAAATTAGACTATAAAGTAACCTTGCGATAACAGAGTTAAATAAACTATGTAATTAGTTATAACATTATTAGTAAAGAATATAAAAGTATAAATAAGAAATATAAAGAAAAAGATCTAGAGTCTTAGTTTTAGTTTTAGTTTTGTCTTAGTCTTAGTTTTAGTTTTATTCTTAGTCTTAGATTTAGTCTTAGTCTTTTTTTTAGTCTTAGTCTTTTTTTTAGTCTTAGTTTAGTTTATAGAGAGTTTGCATATTTTGAATAATAAGAATAATCAATATTATCTAGCAGCTTATTATGATTTATTTGCCTAATAATTTTATTATTTGGCAGAAATAATAGTTAAAAATAGTTTAAACTATTATCTCTGCCTAATAATTTTATTATTGAGTAGGCAAATTATAGTAAACCACCAGATAATCTGTTATCAGGCAGTACCTGCCTGATAACTTATTACTATATTATCGTCAATATCATATAGATTCATTAGATCCGGATCTGGTTAGATTTCTAAACTGTTAGTATCACTTTAACTCTATAACATGTTACTTACTTCTCTTCTAATTCTATAGCTACAGATTAATAATATACTATATATATATTTAAAATAATCTTCATGAAAATTTACTACTAAACTAAGTATTTATTCAAGTTCATGCATCTTTAATACATAATATTTTTAAATTATTTTATTTCAGTTTAGTTTATGCATATTTTACTAGCTAATTTAATTTATTTAAGCGAATAAGCCACTAAGCATAGCTATTTTTACTTATTAGTTATCTTTTAAAAGTTGTACATATACATACGTATTATATGTGTACTATAAAAATAATGCAAATATATGCCCAGAAATATATAATTGAGTAGATATCATTAAATAAACTACTAAAGTTAGCTGGGAGATTTAAGATTGTATTTTCTTTAATCTAGCTAGATACTAAGAAAAAAAATACTGTAATAATAAAAAAAGGTGCTTAATAAAAGACTATAAGATTAGAAAATACATGTAAGTGCCTTAACGATTATGTCTCATGATGATCGTAACAATCGTTGACAAAAATCATGGCATAATATTATCAATTTAATGGTAAATTTTAACCTCAATTATCTCAACTTCTAGATATTAGAATCAAACAAGCTTTTTTTTATTTTAAAGTATTACGTCTCTTCTACGGAATAAAAAAAAAATTAGCAAGTCTATAACTGGTTGCTGAGATAATCGAGATATATGATGATGAATAAAATTTGACATATTATGATAGTTTATTTGACTTATCTTTGCAACTAGTAATTAGATTTAGCCAATTTTTTTTTATATTGTAAAGAAAGTGCAAATATGTTAGTTAAAATAAAAATTGTTAATTTTAGAATAATAATCATTGAGAAAATTAGCTTAGAAGTTTGACTTATAAAAGTTTTGTTTTTTTTAATTTTTTAGCTAATTATTGATCAAAATTTGATAAAATTTTTACAGTAGGTAGAGAAAAGGTTTCTCTATAAGTTGGTAATATTTCATTAAAATTAGACTAATAGTTATTAAAATATGTTCACAGAAACACAGACACTTACATAATTTATCAAAACCCTAAAAGTAAAGTTAAATAACTTGCTAATTATACAAGCATGTGATCTAAAAATGATATGAAATAATCCTCAAGGAGTAAGGATTATTATAGTCAAATTAAGGAAAGTTAATTAGAAAGTTTTTGAGTTATAAGCCAAGTCCTTAGGTGTGGAAATATTTTTGTCATCCTCTGTAGAAGGAGGTCTATTGTAAAAAAGTTGTCACTATGTGTAATAGCAATTGTTATAGAAAATTCTAGTATACAAAGGTTGTATGTATAAATTCTCAGTTGGTATAGATAGTACTAACAATTCTAAAACAGTATTAAAATCTTGTTTGGAAAGATGACCAGATAGTAACTAGATTTAAAGTAGTGAGAAAAGTGGCAAATACAAAGGGATCTGTAGTAAAGAATTAGCCTTATCAAATTTAAAACACCTCTGGTACTATATAAAACTACTTAATAAAAAAAGACTAAAGCATGGAGTTGTGTATATATTAAGACCTAACAGAGCTTTGGGTATATCTATATGTGAGTTTTCAGATATTACAAGGGTCTAGAACCACCAAAACTAGTATAGCTAATACAAGTATATGCAATAAATAACCAAAAGCTATAACTACTAAGAATTATTATAAAAAGAAATAATGATATATTTGTTATAAACCTCTAAGCCTCATGATACTATTTAACCAGTGTTGTACATTTTGGCTATTCAAAGCCTTTTTTAACTTGTTTATATTCAAAATTGTCCAAGTGTCCAAGATTGTTCAAAGCTTGTTTAGGCTTTAATAATTAATAAATTTGTTTAAAAAATATATAACTATATATTTTTTTAGGTGCTGAAT